TAATATTTTATGTTCTGTCATTTTTATTTGTTGTAAATGTTAAACATGTTGTGAGCAGCATTAAAGGAATAGTTCACCCCAAAAATGAAAATTCTGTAATTTACTCACCCTTATGTCATTCCAAACCTGTATGAATCTCTTTCTTCTGTCAAACACAAAAGAAGATATTTAGGGTAATCAAACAGTTGATGGTAGCACCTGATTTCCACAGTATGGAAAAAAATACTATGAATGGCTACTCTCAACTATTTGATTATCCAAAAGATCTTCTGTGTTTAAAAGAAGACAGAAATTCATACAGGTTTGGAATAACATAAGGGTGAGTAAATGTTTACAGAAACGATGACAGTATTTTCATTTTTGGGTGTTAAAGACAAAGTCAAGCTTGACTAAAACTGTACACAATGTATATATTAAACAATCTTGATAGATTTGTCCGATGCGAGGGACCCGTTTTATAATTTTAATGCTTTCATCTTGCACTGGTGGCTAAGGTCAATCTATGAAGGCCAGTGAATTACACTAGGATGACCAGACATCCCGGTTTTTGGTGTTCTGTCCCGCGTTTTACAGCCCATTCAAAACAGCCCACAAATCCACTGCAAGTCTGCAACAAAGCCTGACACTACTGGCTACCACCAGAGCAAACGTGTAGTGATTATTTTCACCAACAGAGGGCGCTGAAAGCTACACTGATTACTTGGTCTCGCGCCACTCCTTCAGCCATAGTCACATACAAACTATTTATGGTGAACTAAATAAATACTGTTTGCATGTAATAAGAGGTGTATTTATGTAACGGTGGGACATGGTTTTGCATGCAATTTTAAAGGGGTCATATGATGCTTTTTTAAAGATCATTATTTTGTGTATTTGGTGTAACAGAATATGTTGACATGCTTTAATGTTCAAAAAACAAATTTTTCAAATACTGTACATTATTGTAGGTCCTCTATGCCCCGCTTCTCTCAAACGCAAGGAAAACTTGAAATCGCATCATATGACCCCTTTAAAAGTTACCCAAAGGTCCACAGTCCTGAAGACTAGAGATGTTCTTATCATCATGGGGAGATACCCTCGCAGGTCAGTTCAGATTATGCAGGGGTCTCCAAACTCGGTTCTGGAGGTCCGGTGCGGTACAGAGTTTTGTTCCAACCCTGCTCCAACACACATACCATGTAGCTTTCAAATAAGCCTGAAAGATTTGATTAGTTGGATTAGGTGCGTTTATTAGGCTTGAATGAACTCTGCAGGGCTCCAGCCCTCCAGGAATTGAGTTTTTTACCCCTGTACTAGGCATACTAGAAACTCCAGGCAGGTGTGTTGAGGCAAGCTGGAGCTAAACTCGGCAAGACACCGGTCCTCCAGGACCGAGTTTGGAGACCCCTGAGATAACGTGTTCCTTGATAACCAGTCACATTATCCACCTTATTTTGTGGAAGTAAGCTATTTTTATTTGAATGTGCGAGACTTCAGATTCATTAACAGCTACAGATAAATAACGAAGAATAACAAATTGCAGTAAACGGTTAAATTATTTGCGCTACAAACCAGTGTGTTAATGATTTTGATAATAAATGAAAATAATACAATAACAATTATAAATCAGCACAACGGACTGTTTTGTACAGGTAAAATAACTAGAAGCGGATGTCACCGGAAGCCTCTCAAATCCCTGTATCGTTCGTTAAATCGTGTTTTGATTTAATATTGAAAGATGAAAAATGAGAAAACGGCTCCTTTTTCGTTTTTTCACTTAAAACAAAAAAAGAATTCAGCTTGATTTTTCATTCAGTGGTGGAAAAACGAATAAACAGCTTGACGTAATTGAAAAAGTAGATGAATCCAAAACGAATAGTTAATGGAAAACATGTTGAATATTAGCCAATATAGGATGTTGCTTTACAAAAAGCAGTTTAGGCCTACTATGAAGCTTCTCCTCCACTGACGTTCATTTCAAAATTGGATAAACTTGTGAGCACTACCAATGAATATTTCAAAGACAATTCTAAAGTTTTATCAAGCTTTAATCACTCTGTATATTTACAACACATTTTTAGTTTTGGCAAAGAAAACTGTCATGATTCTTAAGCATATAAATCAATACATGAAATTTAAAGGGGGAAAAAAACATTAAAAATGTTAAATATAAGTTTACAGTTGAGTTCAAGACTGAGTTCAAGTTATAGCTCTTTCAACCAGTGACTGAAAACTGGTCTTCTCATTAGCGTTACAGTATATAAACAATTACATAGGACAATGCAAGGCACAGTGTTGTAAGTGCACTTAAACTGAGTGAAGAATCAAACTCTATGCTGCATTAAAGCAAGTGAATGGAGGCTCATTCTTCCTCTCTGTGGAGCAGGCTTGATTCCTCAGCCCGAGGATGGTCGCTAGCACCTTGCAGTCTCCGGAAAGAAGTCCCTGAGGTCAAACTAAGGAACGACTGATGCGAAGAGCAATCAGAAGTAATCAGTACCAGTTCTGGTGTCCAATAACATGGTCGTCTGAGAACTACAAGTACTCACAGGACAGCTTTTGGTAAGTGAATATGAATGCTTGAACTGCAAGTTTTCAGTTGCTTTGGCAGATGGTTAACCTACACATTTTTCAACATGTCCAAATCAAAAATGCAAGGGCTACACATAATATTGTCCATATTAGTTGACACTTGTACAAAAAACACAGTGGGGAACCATTGTTGTTTTGAAAAGGCCACATATTTAACTGCGCCATGATCAGCGGTGCAGTTTACAGCATGACCACACTACCACTGTTGCCAACTCTCGCAAGATAAATAAGCAACCGCAGCTTAAAAAACAAGCCCAAAACAAGCCCAATATTTTTTTTTGATGATTTATTATCATCAATATTATTTATTACCAATAAATGAACCTGCAACATATTAAACTGAAACCACTCTTTTATCTGAAAAGCAAAAACAGAAGCTATTTTACAAAAATCAGCAAACTGCAACAAAGTGAGAACAAAAAACTCATCTCCAATCACCTGTGAGCAGAATAGGATTGGAGAGATGGAAAAGGAGAAAAACACAAGAGCTTCTAAGGGGAGCTGTAACATAGCCACATATTTATAGCCTACTAAAATATAGGCTATTCGAACCATATTTACTCTTAGTATTAGTATAGGACTACTTGTTTTTTATTACAGCCCGTGATAATTAATACATTACAAAAACATTGTAAAAATGAAAAATTAGGCTAAAAGAAAGTCATCCCACTCCTCTACGTCTACTTCTGTCATCGCTTGGATTACAGCGTCACGGCACGCGCCTTCTTTTTGAATGTGATTTTCTCCAATGAGGGGGAGATCCAATATTATTGCACTGGTTGGCTATTAACTGTGAGCAGACAGAGTGTCATTCAATGCATTGGAGAATACGGCGAACATAAATAAAGAAACGAAGTTGCTTATCAGATTCCCCTAACAAGCAACCATATTTTTTAAAATAAACCCAAAAAACCGCAACCTGCGACCTTGGATTTTTTTACGCAATTTTACAAAAAAAGAAGCCCAAAGTTGCGTATAATACGCGGACTTGGCAACTATGCACACTACATGCCTGAGGAAAAAAATAAGTCTGAAGAACAAAGCCATTTGTGTTTGAGCTGATCTTTAAAGGGGAAAATGAGGGGGTGGCTTCAGAATAGAGCAGTTAGACAATGTATAAGCCTGGTCCTCAGTAAACACATGAGTACTTCAGCTGAAATAGAGAGTGATAGGGTGATAGTGATTTTTTTTCACAGTATTGGATCATGTGGAGAACCATGAGTGCCACAAAAACAATAATGATAAAAGATATATAAATATATAAAAAATATATATATAAATTAAAATGCCAATATAAATGGAAATCACTTTTTAATTAAAAAAAGTAGACCTTTGACATTTAATTCATGTTTAAAATGAAACTAAAATCATACAACAATACAGTGCTGCAGAGAAGTATTTTTGTAGGCAAATGTTGATGGGTTTTTGTTTAAATGTCTACAATAAGGTCTGTTATGAACACAAGCTCAAGATATTTTCCTGTTTTATTCTACGACATAAAATACACCAGTAATACCCCTTGTGGCATTTTTAAAGCTTTTACTTGTCTTGAAAAAGGCAGTTGCTAACAAGTGGCTAAATGAGACTACAGAGGTTTTCGGGGACATTAAACACCATCACGCCAAACAGGAAAACGTGTCTACTCACTAGTCTGCTTTTACAGCCTCAGTGTGTTTAAAATCACGCTTTTGGAAACGACTCTAACTCAAACTTTCAGGGAAAATGTCACAGCTGTAAATTTCCTTGAGGAGGTTTGGCATCACAACGGTTTTGTTTCCAGGTGCACCATTAAAGAACGCGACACACACGTCTCCCAGAAATCTTGTAGAATTAAACTAATCACATGACGACTTAAAAAACTCCCAAAGTGTTTCCCATTTTGTGTGCCTTATTCATCAGACATTCAGCCAACGTTCCATGGACGTGATGTCTGAGGCTGAAACTAGAGTAATGCTACACTCTAAAAAATGCTGGGTTGTTTCAACCCAATGTTGGGTGAAATATGGACTAACCCAACTGTTGGGTTAAA